GTGTGTGTTTTCAATTATTTATCACAAATCCTATGCTTTAATTTTTTTACATAATAGTAATTTGTGTTCAACTATATTTAATATTTTTTTAGGGGTGTGTACAAGTGTAATGTAGATGCTTCATGGAACAAGGAACATAATCAATGTGTCATAGGATGGACCCTTAGAAACAATCATGGGAATGTCAAGTGGTATGCCTATCCTTTCATTTACTCTGGTATTGATGCATAGGCAACATGTTTGATTTGGGCAATGAGATGTGTGGATAGTCTTGGTTTTGGACTTTTGGTAAGGTTGTGTTTGAATCCGATGCAAAAATTTTGATAAGCGTTTTTATATAACGGAAAGAATATTAATTGTTGTGTTGATCAGATTGTTAATTTTGTTGTTATTCTCTTAATATTCATGGGTTGTTTTAGAGTTTGGTATTCCCAATTGGTTGCATTCAGTTGTTGAAAGGGAGTATATTTGGTTGTTTGAACTATAGTTATTATTTTACCCATAAAGACGTTTTAACATGTGAAAAACTGAAAATAGGAATCAATTTTATCCTTCAATCATTTGAAAGTAAGTCTGATATATCAATGCCAGACAAACAAACAAAATGATAGTATGTAAATTTGTACCTAAAGGAAATAGTAAATTACAAGATTCAAGATAAGAACACAATACACAATGATAAATTTCGGATATAGTGTAGCAAAAAATTGTAAATGTCCCCATGTAAATCTTTTTACCCTTTGAAATCATTTTGGTTTTTATAAGAACAACATGGTGTGCGAATCTATGTACCGTAACTTCAAAAGACATCATGATGAGTCACATGACAAAAAAAGATAAATCGTGTTTTTGGTCTTTGGTTCTTGGAACTTTTTTAATTTTTGATATGTGAATCTTGTGATTAGTACAAATCAGAAAGCCTTGTTTGGCTGTTTCCCATTCACGACAAAAACTTCCTCTGTCACTTGCTTAAATAAAATAATTTATCTTCACATTTCTCCCACACGCGTTTACAGCGACGCGGTGCGGTTACAAGATTTATATATTTTTATTCAGGCCCATTATTAAAGATCCAGCCCAATATAGTTTTAAAGCGATTAATGGGCCCCACTCCTTACAAGTTGTATTAAGAGAAAAAAATCCACCCGGGAATCTTTCTGACCCGACTAAAGAAATGGGATCGTCTGCGAATACAGAGACGGCGATTATCATCGCCTCTCCGGCGTCGAACCACAATCAACCGTTAACCAACGGCGGAGATGCGATTCCGACTCATCCTCCTCTTTTACTACTCGATCGCGCGACCTCAGAATTGGAAGCGTCGAAGAAGAGGAGATCTGGGATGCTTCCGCTCGAGGTTGGTACTCGCGTGATGTGTCTGTGGAGAGACGGAAAGTATCATCCGGTGAAGGTTATTGAGCGCCGGAAGAATCATAGCGATGGAAACAATGAATACGAGTATTACGTTCATTACACAGAGTGTATGTCGTTACCTTTCTCTTTCCGATTTTGTGATCTAGGGTTTAGGGATTTGGGTCGTGAAATTTCGAAGATTGAATTAGAAGCTGTGGGAATTCAAAATTGTTGGCGATTGTTGAATGTGGTGATTAGGAATGTACATATTAAGAGTGTTTGATTTTCATAACTCTTGTGTAATTACAGTTAATAGGAGACTTGATGAATGGATTAAGCTAGATCAACTCGACCTTGATTCCGTAGAGTGCGCTTTAGATGAAAAAGTGGAAGACAAGGTAGCCATTCTTCAAATTCTTGAGCTTTTTTTGTTTTTCTGTATTTCACACTGAATCAGATTAATTTTTCTTGTGGTAATAGGTGACTAGCTTGAAGATGACACGACACCAGAAACGGAAGATCGATGAGACACATGTAGAGGTAAGTGATTGTCTAGCAGTTAGTCAAATTTTGTTGTGGTTTAGTGAACTGTGTGACAAGTGATATTCTGATATTTTTTATACTATAGGGTCATGAAGAGCTGGATGCTGCGAGTTTGCGCGAACACGAGGAGTTCACGAAAGTGAAGAACATAGCAACGATTGAGCTTGGGAAATATGAGATTGAGACGTGGTACTTCTCTCCTTTTCCGCCAGAATACAATGACTGTGTGAAGCTCTTTTTCTGTGAGTTTTGCCTGAATTTCATGAAGCGTAAAGAACAGCTTCAAAGACATATGGTGAGCGACTGGTTATTTTTATTACTCTATTCAATATTATAGGTACATGTTGTTTATCCTCCAGTTTCTTTTGACTATCATTTGTAAACAATCGGCATTTTTCTATGCAGAGGAAATGTGACCTGAAGCATCCCCCTGGGGATGAAATCTATCGAAGTTCTACCTTGTCAATGTTTGAGGTAATATCCTGAATATCTTCAAAATATATTTTCTGCCCTCGTCTTCTTGTTCCTGCAAGTGACGCTAATATGTTCAGCATTTTCACTTACGTTTTTTTTCTCAGTCAGTTGTGTTGTACATTCAGAAGTGAATATTCATGACGTGGGAGTTTACGTTTGATCTTACAGGTAGATGGGAAAAAGAATAAGGTCTATGCACAGAACCTCTGCTATCTGGCAAAGTTATTTCTTGACCACAAAACTCTTTACTATGACGTTGATTTGTTCCTGTTCTATATTCTGTGTGAATGTGATGATCGTGGATGCCACATGGTTGGTTACTTTTCAAAGGTACCAAGACTCTACTTTTGCTTCTGGTTCTGTTATGTAGAACAGCTAAGTGGTTTTTGCTGAGTGGATCCTCATTAGTATTATTTTCTTGTGAAACTTGTTCTACAACGTTGGTCGAATACAATGGAAAAGGTAAAACGTTTTAAGAATTACAACGAGCACAAAGAAATCAAGCATTCTTGTTGGTTATTGACGTGCTATCTCTCCAAGATTTCCTTGTTTTTAGGAATCCATACGTGTTTGATTTCAGTTTTATGGTCTGATGAACAAAATGTAATATCTGTTGGCACAGGAAAAACACTCGGAAGAAGCGTACAACTTGGCTTGCATCCTTACTCTTCCTCCATATCAAAGGAAAGGCTATGGCAAATTCTTGATAGCCTTCTGTGAGTTTTTCTCTCCCATCTCTCTATAAAGCTTACTCCTTGTTTTGTTTTGTAAAGTTGACTGACAAGTTATCCGTCTTTTGTGTTATATAGCCTATGAACTTTCAAAGAAAGAGGGCAAAGTCGGGACACCCGAAAGACCACTCTCTGATCTAGGCTTAGTGAGTTACAGAGGATACTGGACTCGGATTTTATTAGACATATTGAAAAAGCACAAGGGGAACATATCTATCAAGGTATATCCTTAATCATGCTTTATCCATCAACAGATTGTTTCATATAATCCAAACCTTTCTTCGAATGTAGGAGCTGAGTGATATGACAGCGATTAAGGCAGAAGATATATTAAGCACACTTCAGAGCTTGGAACTGATACAGTACAGGAAAGGGCAACACGTGATCTGCGCGGATCCTAAAGTACTGGACCGACATTTGAAAGCTGCAGGCCGAGGTGGTCTTGATGTAGATGTTAGCAAAATGATATGGACTCCTTACAAAGAGCAGAGCTAATTAGAGTAAGAGCCATTACACTTTCAAATGATATGGTTTTCTTTTAATTTGCAGATCCTTTTAGATCACTTTTATGTGGAATTTCTCATTATAAAAATGTAACACACTTTGTTCAATAGATGTTGTAACTGTAGAAATCTTTTGTTTGAATGGTATAACGATCAGTAGCAAATTCGATGTTCAATGCATAGGGG